CCTTTCGGAAATATTCCAAAGTTATAGAGACAAATTGGAAGAACAAAATAGCATTTTGTACCAGCAAGTACTTGCAATCTAAAGTTTTAAAGTCTACAAGACGTAAACATCGCTCGGAACAATGTGAATCCCATTTCTTTTGCTTTTCTGTCCTTCGCTTGCCATCTTTCTTCTTCACTCACACCTCCAATGTGAGGTGAGATTTTCGCTGTAAAGCAGATGAAATATCAAATATTTGCAAATAGAATACAAAGAGAAGTGTCAAAAAAACATTTTTTGGCTTTATAGAAGAGTTTCCGTGTATTTTAGGTGCTACAAATCAGAAAATAAAGTGACCGTCTCTCGAGGCGGCCAAACCTACCTTTCTCGTCGCCGCCACTGTTGGAAGATGCGGGCAACACTCCACGTGATTATGCTAATTAGATCGAGAGCGGGAAATTTTACTTCCTGTTAGCGTCCACCTTACTGCCTCCAGTGTTTGCTTAAGGTCTCTAGTGATTGTGATCGTGGCTTTAACTTGCATGTAGATCAGGTGACAAAACTCTATATGCTGTTTGATGAGCACTACATTTTGATTATCAACTGTATGAATCATGTTTAGGGTTGCAAACAAACGTTGTTTTAAGATCTATACAATGAGAGAATCGATACAACTGTAAAACATATTTGTAAACATGAGTGACTGTTGCCGACAACTCAGGTACCTTCAACTTTTATCATGCATGTATTTACAAAAATGAAACGTTAAGCAAGTGTGGCTGGAATAAAAACAGTTTGGCCGATGTATATGAAACATTATTGGACACTTGAGAATTTATAATACACACATGGTACACATGCATTGCTGATGAGAACGAAAATCGTGTCTACTGCGCTAATTGATACAATACCATACAGACGTCTTCTACACAAAACAGGTTTTGAATACCAACGGATGTGAAGTATTGGTACTTCCAGTGCACTCACAAGAAATGAGACACGTCTCGTTTCTCTCGAGACTTGTCTCGTTTCTTTCGAGATGAGTCTCGCAAGAAATGAGATGCTTCTCGTGAGACGGTGGTAACTTACTTTTGAGCGGTACTGTACATTTTGTCCAGACTTGCTTGGCACCTTCCCTTCATTTGAATATTTCTCATCAAGTTAATGGTGTGGAAAGTAGTTTCAATTAAACTTTATTCCAGTTTAGTGTGCAAAACATGCACAGTGTACCCTATTCAAGACCATAATGGTCAAAATCTATAACCTGTTTCAGACCATAATGACTAAAAAACCATACCCTTTACCATCTCATGTGCTTATGTAGCTCATGTAAGGCAGTGCCCTCTTTTTGTTTTGTTTTTTTGGTGTACATTGTTGGACACTGTGTCTGGTATATTTGTGTCCAGTCCAAATTTTAAAATCCGAATAGCAATGAAAAATATTAAATAATCTTTTTATCTGGGGGAGAGAGGAATAATGAATGCTACGTTTTCTTTTGGGTCATCTCAGTGACAAGATGGATAAGCAGGTCCTTACTTCATCTCGAGCCTCAGAGGATGTGGGCCGCTATTCTGTTGGCATTCTAAGAGAAGGTATGTACTTGTATCATTTATGTACATGTAGGTACTGTTCCAGTTGAGAAAATTAGAGCAGATGAATTGATCAAGAAAAAATTGAAAAGGGAAACTAAGGCATTGATTTTTCTGGAAATCGAACAGGGATTTCCCAAGAAAGTCACTGCAATTCATCAAAGATCATTAATTTGTGGGAGGTGGTTTGGTGTAACTGTTTGTTATGAACTTTAGATCAAGGGAGGTAATCAGCTTCACTGTCTCGTTGCTGCTGTCTGTGCATTGTGTCAATGGGTTCCAGCAAATTGTTTAGGTAAACTACACATAAAAAGTACTGGAGGAGGGCATCTTACTCCTTCAGTAGACCTATAATTTCTCTTCTCAGTTTTGGCCAGAATATTTTTCATAATTGAAGGGGTGAGTGCAAAACCATGCTAAGTGACGATTTGAGTGAAAAAAAAAATTTT